CCAGTTCCAAGGGATCCAATGCCCTCTTCTCCCCTCAGGGGACCTCTGCATGCATACGATGAGCAAAAAAGCACACAGGCCTACACATACGCACATAAAAATAATAATTAATAAATCTTTATAAAGAAAAATAAGGCAGGTAGTAACGTATGCTGGCTGTTCCTTTTCTCCATTTTATCTCTCTAATTAATCTTACCTCACTTCCACTATCTTTTTCTCCTACTTTTTCCTTTTTATACAAGATCCCATCCTAAGGAATAGTGCCACCCATATGGGCATGGAGTCCCACCTTAACTAACGTGATCAAGATCAGCTCCTCAAGCATCCCACAGACACACCTCCCAGATGATTCTAGATGTCATCAAGTTGACAACTGAGATCAGCCACGACTGGTCCTTACATCCTTACAGGGTAATGAGCTCCTTATTCCATAATCATTATACAGCTGAATGTGGGTCTAGACTCAGGAGGTGTGGGGAGAAATGTCCATATGCTTTCCTAGCAGCTCTGGCACAAACGTCTATTGAAGCAAAGAAGCCTGCAAGACAAGGCAGCTTGCCTGTAGTTCCAGAAAGTCTTATGTGAAGACGGAGGGTGGCGTCTCAGAATCTCTCTGTCTACACAGCTTGCCCAGTTCACAGAGCAGCAGACAGCAAACAAGTTGGAAGTTGAGGGCTGACACCTATGCTTATTCTATGACTTAAACATATGCTCTGTGGCATATTCATGCCTTCAGTCACATAGGTGAGTATGCATGTGCACACACACACTCCAGGCACATTCCCAACCTGAATAGATTATAACTGTCTTATCTGTTTTCTGAGAAAGAATCTCACTGTGAATCCCAAGCCTAGAAGTTGCTGTGAAGCCCAGAGTGGCCTCAATACAAGTAAACACATTCGAATTATTCAATTCATGATTATTATCCTATTACACATCCTGTCATTAAATTTGGTTTTAAAGAACTGTATAACTTGAAGTAACTCATGCTGGATATTTTTATAGTGCCAGCAACCAGACCCAGGACTCTGTCCTTAGTAGGAATGGCCTCTAATGCTGAGCCACATCCTAGACCTACAGTGAACACTTCCTAGGAACTGCTTAGCCCTCATGGCAATCCTGCCAGGCACTGCAGCTATTTTATTTATTTTACAAAAAGGGTAACTGAGACTGGGTACAACTCTGTCTTTTGTTCTTTGAACACTGAGTAACTGTGGGCAGTCTATTTTGCTTATATCCACCACTCCCTCCTCTCTTCCACTCCCCCAACGACATCTCCATCCCAGCTCCATGTTCTCCTCTTAAAATTACTTTTTAAAACTCAATTAGTTTGCTTTAATCTAATTAGTTTTATTTTTAATCCAATTAATGCTGCCTATAAGCACATGGATATGGGTTTATACACTGGGATACCAGTAGTTTGCCAGTTGCCACACTCTTTTTTTATTTAAATTTATTTATTTTTTTATTTTATGCACATTGGTGTTTGGATGCATGTATGTCTGTGTGAGGGTGTCAGATGACCTGGAACCGGAATTACAGACAGTTGCTGCCATGCAGGTGCTGAGAATTGAACACGGGTCCTCTGGAAGAGTAGCCAGTGCTCCTAACAGCTGAGCCATCTCTCCAGCCCCAGTGGTCATACTCTTAACGAAAAGTGTGGGACATCTATATCCTGTCCTTCAGCAGCCACCAACTGCCAACCCTTCCTCAGCTAGGGCTGGGGAACAGGACACTTCTCTTTCTGTGCTGGAATTTTAACCGGCTACATCTTGTACATGTTTGCACAGGTGACCATAGCTGCTGTGAATTCACCAGCTCATCATGCCGAACCAGAAGAAAGCATTTCACAGCTCTCCTCCCCAGCGTCTGGCTCTTACAGTCTATCCATCTCCTCTCTTGTGAAGCCCCTGGAGCTCTGGGAGACGGTGTATAGATGTTCTTGTGCAGCTAAACATTCACAGTTGCTTCTCCTCTGTGCTTTGCTTGGTTGTGAGTCTCTGCATTGACCACAACCTTCTGTAATGAGAAGCTTCTCAGACCGAGGTTGAGAACGGCACAAATACATGGACACAAACACAAATATTTTGAAGGAAGTTTGACAACATGTCTGTTTAGAGAAAACATTAGTGGGTTCTCTCCTGAAGCCTGTGACTCCCAGTGATGTGCATTCATCATGTCTATAGCAGCCAGTAAGAGGCAAACAAGGATTTCAAAGTCCACAGCTACACCAGGGGTGTCTACAATATGCATCTTTATCCCATTTCATCTCCTTGCACTGATGATAGTTAAGTACCATCTTGTTTGATGGGACCTACCCTGTCAAAGCTTGTGATAAACATCAATCTTTAAAGTGATGCTTTATGAATTAAGAAGCACTATTTCTATCTTAGTTACTTCTCTATTGCTGTGCTAAAGTACCACGAGCAAGGCAGCTTATAGAAGAAAAAGTTTATTTGGGCCTTATTGTTTCAGAAGATAAGTCCATGATCATCACGGTGGAGAGCATGACAGCAAGCAGACATGTATGATGCTGGAACCATAGCTGAGAGTTTACATGTTGGGACAACAACCATGAGACAGGGAGAGCTATTGGAAATGTGATGTTCCCCCTCATGTTCATGTGTGAATGTTAGCATTTGTATCTGTGCATGTATATGTGTGTGTGTGTGTGTGTGTGTGTGTGTGTGTGTGTGTGCGCGCGCATGAGCATGTTCATGTCAGCATATGGGAATGTACATATACATGCATGCATGCATGTGTGCTAGAGGACAACCTTGGTTGTCATTTTTCAGGTGCCATTCATTTTATTTTTGGAAACTGGGTTTCTCAATGGCCTGGAAATTTCCAGGATTCTGGGCTGATTGGCCAGTGAGCCCTGTAGATCTGTCTGTCTCTGTCTCTGTCTCTCTAGCTCTAGGATTATATACATGGGACACTATGCCCTGATTCTCTAAAAGTCAGTGTGTGTGTGTGTGTGTGTGTGTGTGTGTGTGTGTGTGTGTGTGTGTGT